AAAAAAAACAGTATTATTATTTCACTGGGTTACTTTTTGTTGTTTGAGGAGCCTACCTTGCACTATCCCAATCAGGCGGACAGATATCTGATTCACCACAGAACGGGCTCACTGTCACTGTGTGATCATCGTAAACTGGCTGATTATCGGTGAAACCACCATCAATATAGGCTTCGCCCCGATATGTTGGCGGGTTGATGCCGCAATAAATGGGAATATAGCAGCTGCAGATAATCGCCTAGAACATCAAAGATGGGATATAAGGAACTTAAAGTGCTTTTATTTCTTCCAAAAATTGATTTTCTTGTGAGAAATAAAATCAATAACCCACATCAACCAACTCCTTGTTAGAGTCGTACTGCGTCACGACTACATTTTTACTGTCTCTCCATCGAGTGAGAGAGATCTGTAGGCGGTCAGTGCACCTAAGATACAATTATGAGCAAAGCAAAAGACAATGAAAACCAGAAAATTACCTTTTGTGCGCATCTGGAGGCAGATAGCGCTCTATCTCCATGCGAGTCAGAGCAAGAAGATCAAATTCAGGATGCAGAGGGCCTAAGGCGCGTGAACGTGCCTAAAGTTGAAATGCTTTCGTTGAGATTTCATTGAAAAAAAAAACATGAGAAATAGGGATAAACTACCTGTGACACAATCTTTAGGATAGTACTAGTTACTTGTGAAACGCAGACATCTGTGACTAAGGTAGCGGCTATGACAGCTCCTGCTGATGCTCCGGAGATTTTGCTTTGGATGAGATTTGGTGCGTATTCCTAAAAGTCAAGATGAAAATGAAAGAAGTCGAGACGATCAATAGCGCCTGTAAAAATGTTTGTCATATGGAATGACATAAAAATTAATTTGAATTGCTTTCGACTAAATTTCGGGTCTTTCGATTTTAATTTAGAGAAAGGAAAAAAAGAAAGGTATGAGTGCTATGACTCATAGTGTGTTGCCAGTTTAAAATCATGTTTCTTCGATGATAGAATGAACATGCACATTTCAATTGAAAGCAGGAAGTAATGCGAATCATTTTAAAAAACGTTTCTCTGAAAAAAGGTAAGAAAACCGCTTTGTTCGCAGAGAAAAATATGGACAAAAATTACAATGGAAATATGGAAAAAAGTCAAAAAAATGAGAGCAAACCTTTATAGCAGCAGCGACTCCTGCATGGTAGATACAAAGAAATCCACATCCCGAAAAGGATAGGTTCATTCGCTCCGGATAACTATTTACCATAGTCATCTTGCCCTGAAAAGAACATTTAGTTTCTGTACCTGATAAACACAAAGCGAACGACATAGAGCTGTACAAACGTTGTGATATGATCGACAAAAAGGACAATCGAGAGAATGGGGGCAAGCCCTGGGCCGGCGCACATGTTATTGAACTAGCTTCGGCTAAGCGATCAAACATCTCCTGACGATCAAAGCAACAGCTGTTTCTGTTGGGATTGGAGCCAGCTAATGCAAAATTCTCCAGCTTTTGTGAAAAAGTACGATTTTTAGCAGTCCATTAGCAGCTTATGCTACACAGTGAAGCTACCGCACAACACAGCACTTAATTGACCCAAAAACTAAAAACTGTGAATTTTGCTAAAACTTCGCCTAGGGGGGGGGG